GAAGACAAGACCTCACAAAAATGAGGTCAACACTTCTCGGCATGACTAGATTTGTATATGTTCTCTTTAGTAGTTGGATTGACGAGTCCACTACAACTCAGTTCTCAACCGAACTTGAGCTTACGAGAGATGTGTTGAGTTTGGTCAAATCTCAGGTCCAACTCAATTCTGTCACTTCCTTTGTCTGACCATGCTTTTATTGAGTAAGGTCATGAACCTACTTGATAAGTAACATGAGGATGAGTCAACTCTATAAAGTTTGTAGTTCATACATTAAGGGTTGAGGTAATGCCTGAGGTTGACAATACATGAGTCAATATAATATAACAGGGATAATAGGGATAATCTTGCCCATGGGTTTAACACTATAAAATTTTTAAAAGCACCCAATTTTTCAGTGTTTTGATTCCGTTAGAAATTGAAAGTATGGTTGGGACATGTGATGAGTTTTATGAAGAATTGTCCTCATTTATCTTACATGTCTGTGAATGTGTTATTGGAGTAATTTAGGACTTTGGGGAGATTATAATGTTCATTTTAAGTTGACCCAAACTAAAATCAGAGCATGTAGGAAATTGTGGTCTTTTCTATTGTTGTTTGGATGTTGATATATTATCATTTGGTTAGTGAAACTAATATTTGTCACTATTCATTCAAGTTGTAACATTTAGGACAAACATTGTTTGTACTTTTATTACTGTTATGATGCTATCTGCACTTTAATTAGACATTCTTTTTAGTTCAGTTTTCATTCTAACATGTGTAGGTTAGATTTACTTTCTGTTACATGCTAATCTGTCCTGAGTAATCTTTGAAAAATATTTCTTATAGACACTTGTGATAGATTCTACTTCTGAACTGTAATTTTTCTTCCCGCTTATATTTTTTATTTTTAATGCCATCTATGCTAAAAAATTAAGTTTGGGGGGAGAAAAATATTTTTAAATACTTAAACATTATTTTTCCTCAGTAGACTGTTTATTAAAATAAAATCACTGTACATGAGTTGTGGTATGTGATGCTATCGTTAGGGTACTATAAATCTTGATCCTAAGGAATATCATAGAAGATTTAGTGAAATTTTTGAAAAAGACTTCTAAGGTTAAGATATTTTGTAGGAAACAACAGGAAAATAATTTTACTATTTATAGTAGGAAAGAATTATATTTTTGAAAAATTAGGGTTTTTAGAATTACACATTTAAAAAGAATTACGCCTCTACACTTTATTTAAAACCAATACTTTTATTTTTTTTTGAAGTAAGTGTAGGATAGCTATAAGTATTTAACTTTAGAAAGGAGATAGTGAAATTCAAATCCATTAAAGTCATATCCAGATATATTAATTCTCACATAAAAACAAAAATGATTGAAAAAATTCCTTAAAAAAAAAAAGAAGTGATGAGAAGCTTGAAGGGAAACCTAATTAAAAATTGGTTTCACTTGAACCTTCATAAAGGAGAAAACTTAGATACTGTCCTAAACTTGTTTTTACTTTCATAAAAAATATTAGTTAAATCTTTCTACTTGAGTGCTTTAATTCAGTCTTTTATAATTTCTAGGAATTTAAAGTTTAGCAAATTATAATTATTTTTGAAATAGATAGAAAATTAGTATTCTTAGGGCGAATACAAAATAATCTTAAACCCTAGTTCTAGTCTAATTCAGTAGATTTCTCTTAAGTTGCACTATGATATTCCTAAGGCAAAAAATTATAAAATCTTAATGAAACCCACTAACTCAAATCAACAGGTTTAGTTTTAAAAGTTGTAGTGTTATTTGAGGACAAATAACATTTAAATTTAGGGGATTTTGATATGTTTTTTTGCATGCTTAATTTTCTATACTTTTTATATTTATTTATGAATGAAATTGCAATTTAAAGGGAAGTATTTTCATGTTTTTGGTGCAGATATAATGGGTAAAGCAATTGGAGCGAACTGAAACGAAAACAGAACGAAACAGAGCAAATGAAGCAATGGATGCTTGGACCTGAACTGACACCATGACACTAGCTTTTGGCACTTAGGTGGCGCCACATACTGGCGCCTAGGCGCCACATACTGGTGCGTAGGCACCAGTTGTTTTTCCCAGCCGACTGAGAAGATGACGCTTAGGATCCAAAATTGTTTAGAAGTTTTCTGGGAGTTATTTAGTGGTTCAAAACGATATGGAAAAAGAGATTTTCTGTCATTTGGGCACTTAGGGACGAAGTTCTAAGGTCTGGAACTCCTCAAGGACTTCAGGAAATCCATATTAGGAGTAGGATTCCACTAATATAGAGAGATTTGTAAGGGAATTTGCTACAAGGAGTAGTAGAGAACTTCAGTGGAAGGATTTCAGAGAGATTAAAGCTAAGTATTGTATGTTTTGATTGCATTGTAATCCAGTAAACACATATTTAGTGAACTTATTTTGCTATGTAGAGTTTGTTTGATTGTCTTGAAATCCTTTAAATCACATATTTAGTTTTAAATTTCTTTGTTTCATGAAGTTTTCTATTGAATCTATTATGCATTGTGAAGAGAAATCCTCTGCTTTTCTTTTATGATGATTTGGTAGCAAGTGTAGGGTGTTGAAGTTTAGGAATAAATCTTAATTTTATATGTCATGAATGTTTTCCTAGACTTAATTTATATATCTTATCGGCCATAATATTTGTAAAAATTTGTTGTGACCCATTAGGACTCGGAAGGAGCAGCGGTGGATCAACATGATAATGTTCACATTATCATTTAACTATGAATAAAGTTAGGGAGATAAGTATTTTGGGAGATTCAGATTAGAGCTTTTTGAGTGATAAGCGGGGCATATTGTTATGGGGAGCATATATGTGGCACTAACTGACACCGTTGCCAAAACAATTAACTCATTAGTGAACTATTCGTATCTATAACTCGGGAGAGAGTAGATAGACATATGCTTCTTTTGTTACTACTTTATTCATATTCTTAAACTTCTAACTTACAACCTACTTAATTATTCACAAAAGAAAAGTACTTTTTATCCCTCTTGAATTAAACCTTATTAATTGTTCTGGATAAGTTTTATCATATAATTAAAATAGTAATTTAGGAGTAGTGATAGTAAAATCATCTTTATAGAAACTCTAAACTAGGATCTTATAGTAGTAGACTAGAACTTCTCCTAAAGTGATTGTCTACCTCGGTTCCCTGTGGGTTCGATACTCGGGACTAAAAGAAAGTTCTATATCACTTGAACGATACGTGCAGTTGCGTTAACAGCTAGTGTGAAGTGATTTAACTTGAAAAGTTAAGTTATTAAATTTATAAAATATATTTTAAAAATTATAATATTTAAATCCTAAATCACTAGGTGTACCGCAGAGAAAGTAGCAGTCAATAGGTTTAAAGACCGAAGTGTTATGTATGTAAAAATGAAAGTTTAGGTGTGGCATATGTAAATACATAAGAATTGTGTGCTACATATATGTAAATTTTTTTATTTGGAAATAGCAAGCCCTATTTACTTAAAGTTGTATGTTGATTCTGATCTCTATCGCTACTTGGCTAATTACAGTTGAATAATTCTAATAGTTCTTTTCAAAATGTTATATTACTGATCGATTAGTGCCTAATTTGGGTTCTATTACCTCGGCTCAATATTTGCTGCGCGTGGTAGCCTCTGTCAGTGTAGTTTCAGGTTGCTTGGTTTAGATTGTGGAGGCTGCTCCTTCTGCGTGTTTGTCTTCTTTGGCTAAATCTTCAGTGCTTTCCTTCTATTGTTTAGCTACTGGTTAATTCTTTGTGTGTTGCTGCTAGTTTCACTTAGGAAAGCTCATTAAACTGGCAGGTTCTCTATACTAATGCTTCTTTAACAATGTTTGTTTAAGATATCGGGGATAGCCGCAATTTTGAACTCCTAGAAATACTTTTGAGTTTGAATGCCTCATGCCTGCTAATCTTGACACGATTTGGCCTGAGACCATGTAATATGGAGATGCGAACTGATGGTCACATGAAATATTATATAAAGTGCCAAAATAGTCCTATGACTGTTTACACAAGGTCATTTTTGTCCCATAGTCCATAAAAATCCTAAATTAATCCCGATATTTTTAAAATTAAGACTGAAATAGTCTTCCGTGGGGATTATTTCAGCCTATATTAAATGTATATGGGACTAAATTGGCACTTTTATAGACTCTAGAACTAAAATGACCCCATAAAAATATTTAGGGGACTATTTTGGCATTTTACTTATATTTTATCCATAATAATTTATTTCAAAATTGAAGGACCACTAAACAATATAAGTTTGTCCATATACGAATCATAATATAAATAATTTTTGGAGGGAACATAACTAATTATGAGAACCTGTGATGTTGGCATCCAATGCCCTATGTGGCAATTGCCTCGGCTGCCTGTGCTCCGGATCGGTTTGGTCCATGCAAGGGAGGGACCGACCGGTTCTTCCATGCAATGGGCTTCCCTTCTATTTGGAGCAGGATCCACTCCTCTTTACCCTAGGTCTATAAGTATGCTGTTTTCGTGTTTTAGGTCAGCTTTGATTGTGTTTTTTGTCTGGACAACTGTTGGCGTCCCTTATTCTCTTGTCTAAGGCTGTATCCAAAGGCGAGTGATGCTCCAGTTGTATCTCTTTATGAGATGGTGATTCTCCTCAAAGGGTCGACTGGTGCTCCGACTATATCTCGCCCCTGAGGTGGTATTTATCTTCGACTCTCCTCCATTCTCCACTACTGCCCCTTGTTGCACTGCTGTTCCAACCGTCCATAATTACAGCCACCTCCTGGGACAACACCTTTGCAGTTCCCCTATCGCTGCTTCTGCCCCAAACAGTTATTCCCGGCTGTTTTGTTGTTGTTCCAGCCGTCCAACACCCTCCTCCCTGCAGTTTTGTAATTGTTCCAGCCATCAGGACAGCCCCCTTTTGTAACCTTACTGCTGTCCCTGCCTTTACGGGCCTTCCCAGCCACCACTCCCTACCTTCCCAAGTGCTGCCACCTCCAGAATCTGCCTCCATACGCTTCCCTCTTGCTATCATCATCCAGGACAGCTGGTTAGCGTCGATATCTGCTGTGTTTGAAATTCAGAATCCATAAAAACTGTACTTTGCTGTTTTCTTCTTGCTGACCACCTCTTCTATCATCCCACCACTTTCCAAGGCCTTACTGAACACCTTAACCACTCTGAATCCAACCCTAGTCACGTGTCGTGTTATTGTTATTTTTCATTTACGTGTGGCTATAATCGACTATTGGCTTTTTCGGTAATAATATTTGTTTTTCTATTTTGGTTTGGGCTAACTCCAGCATCATTTGGTACTAGAGCTAGTCATACCCTAATCATATCATAGAGTTTCTAGCATCTATCAATATTTTCTCATTTACTGATTTTTCCAAACAGGGCACCCCAAAAATTTTCTTTCCCACTCTACATCACTCCACACCCTTTCACCCCTCCGACCCTAAAACCTAATCATGCCACCGAAGAGGCAATTGTTAGACACTGCTAAGGAGTTTTCCGTGGAAGAGATACAATGGGAATTCCGCTAAGTGCTACAACGACTCTTCGAACTTGAGGAAAAGACCCAAGGGGGTCACTGTCGTGTGAGGTAACGAGATTCGATGAGAGAGAAAAGAACGTCTGAATCCCATATGTAGGGATGACTCTAGTGAAGAAGAAGACATGCCACAACGCTTTGTGATACGATATCAGAGGAGATCGAGTGATGAAGTGTCTATTACAGGATACATAAACAAAATGTCTGCTAGTGGATACAGAGATGAAGTGTCTTTTGGAGGATATAGAGACTTAGGATTGAAAGTGGACATACCGGATTTTGAGAGGAGGATGAATCCAGTTAGACTTAATATAGTGGATGCAGGCTGTCAAACAGATTTGGAATACAAGAAGGTGCCTTATGACCGGAAAGTGAAACTTGTTGCTATCAAGCTGAATTAGAGCAATTCATTGTGCTGAGAGAACCTGAAGAGGGAGAGAAATAAAGAACGAAAAAACAAGATAACTACCTGAGAGAAGATGAAAAGGGAGTTCCAGCTAGATTACCTACCTCCACACTACCATTAGAATGTTTTCTTGAGACTCCACCACCTGCAGTAGCGGGGCCTATCAGTGAAAGAGTACACAACGGAGTTTATACAGCTCAAACTGCAATGTGATCTGATGGAGCCAGAGGAGCACACGATAGTCAAATATTAGAAAGGTTTGAAATCCGTCATTAACAATGTGGTTCAACTACAGGCTTACTGATATTTGGATGACATTTAGACCTTAATAATGAAGATGGAGAGACAACAAAAGTAAAGCAGACATGCACCTTCATTCAGACCGTCCATAGTTGGAGAAATCAATAGGAGAACACTTAAAACAGTTGAGAAGTTTGGCCAAAAAATGATAAGAGCTACCCAAAGTGAGAAGAAGTCTGAGAAGAGCAACACCCTCGCTACCTTCCTAGCCAACACATATTTTAAATGTCATAGTTTTGGACTCATTGTTTCCAGTTGTCAGACCAGCCAAGTTGTGTTCTTCACTGATCAGGGTATGGGAGAAAATTAGCGGCGAAGAGGCAATCGAAGGAAATGGTGAGGGGTACCGACTTCCATCAAATGAGGGCGAGATGCTTGTGCTTCGACGAGTCATACAGACTAAGGCTACGAGAGATCAGCAATGACTTCGCCACAACATATTCTACACCCGTTGCATTGTGAAGGGAAATGTATGTAGTCTCATCATCGATGGAGGGAGCAGTGAAAACGTGACATCTATATAGATGGTCGACAAGTTGAGCCTCACAACTTAAAGACATTCTCAGCTGTATTTTCTAAAGTGGTTGAAGAAGAAGAACAAGGTCAACATTGACATGAAGTGTCTCGTGGAATTTTCAATTAGAAACCAGTTGCAGGATCAGGTGTGGTGTCATGTGGTGCTGTTGACCTCATTTTTAGCGAGGTCTAATTTTCTTCTTAGGATTTAGGGTCTAGCCTTAGGATTCTCCCTCTGACTATCTTAGAGCCTTAGTAATGGGACTCATCTCATTTTACAAATCCAAACTGCTTCTTTACCCTTTTGGAGTTATGCATGTGTGGTACTCGACCTCTAGCACTTACGAGGTTGAAACCAACATGAGAAAACTCAAAATGAGTCCCTATAGGACCCTTAAACCATAGAATTGCCTCATGCACGATTTGCACCTTCGCACGCACAGACTTCACAATTTGGACAGTTGAATCTTTTAATTATCGCAATTTACATTGTTTACGCCTTTAAATGTTGCATAGTTAATCAAAACTTAAATAAGATTTTGAAACGATCGATCATGAGTCCAAAATTTGAAGTAAATCGAATTCAACACATTTTTGACCCGATCATAGACGAAGTTGCTCGAACGACCCCGGATGACGAAACGAACCGCGGTGGCGCGTTCGGAACGTCGATTTTACCTGGGAAGGACGCCCATTTTGATATGGTTTCGTGCACAAGCGAAAAGTGCGTGAATCGACAGATTTTTGAATATTGAACATTATAAATTATTAAAAAAAAGAAAATTGTTTTCCTTAAATCCCTAACCCTCGCTCACGGCACTCCTCCCCTCGCATTTTCTCCCTTGTTGACCCCTCTTCACCAGACACCCTCTGCCTGAGACTCTCCTTCCCGAAGCGTCGCCTGCCTCGTCTCGCCGGGCGAGGAGGTCCTTCGTGAGCCTTCGATTCCCACTATGGTAAGTTTGGCCCTGACGAGCTTGTTCCCTGAGGCACGAATGGGGCAAGGGCTTCTCCTTCTCGATGCCTTCGACTCTCTGCCCAAGCCTTCTCGTTTGTCGCCTTCAAGCGTCGGCTCACCCCCAGGTAGGTTTGGGTAAGCTCTTCTCCTCTCCTCTGGCTACATAAACCCCATTAAGGGAGGTCTTTTGGGTTGGCCGAAATTCTAGAGAGGGTGGAGGTGCTGCCAAAATTTTCTCTAATCTTTTGGGTTAGATTTTTCTCTGCTTTGTTCATTTTGTGTGTTCTTGAGGTCTTTTGGAGTTCTGTTTTCTGTTTTGGAGAAGCTTGAACAAGCTTTGGTAAGGTTAGGTGTTGCCGGATTTTCTCTGGGTTTGTTTTGAAGTTGCTCTAAATTTGCATAAAGAGTTCTTGGTCTAGTGAACATTTGGAGAAGATAAACTGAAGTATGATCATTACATTTAACATTTAATTTGTTATTTGGGGTTGTGCACTATTCATGCTTTTATGGATGAGATGAATACCTAGAGTTGTTCCTCTCTTATGCTTGCTTTTAGCTCTATAATTTAATAAGGTATTCCCGGAATGTTTACAACTGAAAGGCTCGTCTTAAACCTGGCTTGCTAACTTTATTGCAAGTTGTGCATTAGAGGAGGTATTGTACATTTGTTGGCTTAGCCTTCTTGTTTGGGAGCTTTATGGTCTACTGATTCGAAAATTTTATTTTAAGTTGTGTTTTGGTTGAAAGCTTTGTTTGTGGGTTTTTGTCGATTCGATTCGGTTTTCTGGTTCGAGGGCTTTGTGGCTTGATTGGTATCCTTGTTGTGTGCTCGGTCGCTTGGTTTTATTGTATAACATTTATTTTCATTTGCCATACATACATATGTTTACGGTACTTTAAGCATCGCTATATAGGTGAACCTCGAGGCCTATGCATTCCATGTATAGAGTTATGAAATATGAATATCAAAGCTCACATATTATGCATACGAATCTGTGAAACCTGAAAACGTGAGGGTCTTTTGAGGAAATTCATTAGTTCTTTTGGTGTTTTACTTGTGAAAATCTGCAAGAGCAATTGTATCGTTTTGATGAAATCAGTAAGTTTTGATGTTTCGATTATTGAAGCTTGAAGAATGGGAAGACTCTGTTTGTTTCATCAAATTTGGTTGCATATGCATTAAATTTATCCACTTGAAATTCCTACATATTAAGAAGGTGAAAATCACCAGCTTATATATTTTCTTACTTTTGGAACGATTTAAAAAGCCCTATACTCTTGATTTGTGGGAGGTGGTGCAAATTTGAAGCCCCATACACTCTTCTTTGTTATCAAAGAAGATTTACATGTATGCCATTTGATTCTTTTGTGTTTACTGTCTAATATCTGAACCATTTTCTTTTTATATGCATACCACACAATCCTTGTGCGTTTACGCATCTAACACTAAAACTTGGATAGTTATATTCATAACACTCGAATTCTTAACATCACATCCAAAGTACAACTTTTTACTAGCATTTCAAAAGTCAATGGGAGGTCCCATGACAAAGATTTCTCGTTTTCAATTCTATTTAAGTTTTCGGCATTCTTAGCGGCAATTATTTCCTTCACCCGCTCGCTTGGTACTTGTTCTTTGATGGTTGATCTATGTACTTGGGTGACACTCACTTTAATGTAGCTTTTATTGAGATTTAATCTGAAGGTTCTTAAAATTCAGATTGCATATATATATATATATATATATATATATATGATTTGAATTAATTTGTAAGCTCTGAGGTAAATATGTTATGGGCTGTTTGTGCCGTTACCCTTAAAAGGCTTGCATCTTTGGTTTCCTTACTACATTTAATCTTGCTGCATGTTTGTTATGCTTCTAGAAGAGGAAGACATGGGGGTGTATGTGATAGAGGTGGAAAAATATACTATAGGCTGTTTGTTGTACCTCTACATGCCACTCATTCTTATATATCGAGTAATCTGCATCTATAGCGCCCAACTCTTTTGTATTTACATGCCTAATACATAAACTTCAGGATTTACATACATGCCACCTAGCTCTTATATCGCTTGAAATTTAAAGTTTTGAAATGCCTCTTCGGGAGTTGCTTTATTCACTACCTATTTTAATAAAGTTTAAACGTTATTTGGGGGTTTCAAATGTTGTTATTTGAGCTGAATACTTGCTGATTTGGAAAGGCTTTAAGATGCATCGCGTAAGCTTAAAATGTTGCAGTTTTCGGGGGCTTTTGCCCACTGTTTTGGGCCTCTTTTGGGCTGCGGTTTTGAAGCTTTAATGGTGACATTTTCAATGTAATATGAAAGATTTAGATGGTGTGAATGCAACATTTAAGTC